TAACTCGTTGGTCTGACTGATCCTCTAGGATGCTGTCAGTCGGGTACGACTCGATCTGCTGTCGGATGGCAGATGCAATGGCAGGGACAAAGGTCAGAGGATTCAAATCCAGGTCATCACAAAGAATCTCGGAGAACATTTCTGGGGTCATCAGTTTTTCTGTTACAGAACAAGAATGAACACTGTAAACTTCCTTAGAAATTAATGTCTGCCTCTTAGAGAACACACAAAATCCCACAGGGCAAGGTGACAAAGGGAATCCCAAGTGCATTACCTTTTGCTTTTAAAAGGGTGTTTTGTACCAGGTCTGTCAGGGCAGACACACTGATACAGGGACTTACAGCCTTCTTTACCTGCTCCATGGTATCCAGAGAGTGTGGCTACAGAAGCCACAGCCATTAACCTCAGCTAAGAGTACTCTCAGACCACTGAGCTGATGAACTGGCTTGGAAAATCTGCCAGTTAAACTCTTCAGACTACATGTGTCCAGGAATGACTGCAACCCATGGAAGTGGCAGAGCATTTGCCAAGAGATGCAAGCACTGAATACACTCCAGAGTGGGAGAGCTTTAAAGCTTTGTCTATATGGGGCAAGGACATTTGGTGATGGACACAACTTTATCTCTCCAGCCTCAGGAAACTCTCCTTGCTACATACCATTCATGTTCCACGTAAATGCATCTCGGAGTTTCTGCCCATCAATTTCCATATCAAGCCTGATTGGAACCAGAACCTCTGGCTGGGATGCATTCTCATGGATCACTGCTGGGTCATGGTCATCAAAGCTAAAGTGGAGAGCAACAACACAGTAGATGCAACGAGCACATGACACATCTGGCATCCACAGAGGGAAGGCAACATTTGCTGGAAGCAATCCCCACACTCCAACTCCCCGACCTGTCTATAGACAGACTCCCCAAGGCAAGCTTACAGGGCTGTGGCAACTAATTCCAGTTTATCACCTTCTATTACATCTATCATAACACACACCTGCAAATAAAACAAGCAAGTTTTCTAGGATTACATTTATCTTGGTTGCCTTAAGTTTAATAATGGAAAAAACATTAGTCATGAGCTTCAGCAGCATTTTCCACTAAACAAACTAGATCAAAGTTACTGGTACATATCAATGAGAAGCAGCCTGTCCTTCACAAAGAGGGTCTGCAGGCTTCTCAAATGACAACTGCTCAGCAAATCAGCAGGAAGTGGAAGGAACTCATCAGGAAAAGAATGAACCATTTTCCTGACAAAAGGAAAGCCTCCACTCTGAGCCATGCATGGCTACTACAACAGAGCCTCAGGACACACAATTTAACCAAGAACCTCCAAGTTAATGACCTGCAGGTCTTTTGTCAGCTGGGGATGAATCACAACATTACATGAACCCATCAGTACTACCCTGGCAGCATGTCATTTTGGTAACTATTCCCACTTTCCAGAAGCAGGAAGCTGTCTCACCACAGAGGGAATGTTCTCTTCTTGTCCCTGCCCATGCGGTTCCTGTTGATGGTTGTTGAGCACGGCACGGCGTCCAGGTGATGAGAGCTGTTGGGCAGGGTTGGCACCCACTGGTTGTTCCTCTTTGCTTTCTGTTCTCTGAAGGAGACTGGATGTTAACCTGCAGGCCCTCAGCACCACTGCTGCTACTTAAGGAATGGTGTCATTTTAAACGTCAAGTGCTATTACGAGTTCCTGCTATTTTACTCTGGGACCATCAACATTGCTGTTCCACCAGGAACTCATGTTCCACACCAGCCTCTCGGAAGGCCATTCTCCAGCTCACAAATATCCATCAGATATGAATCCAGGTGCACCTTTATAAATACTAGATTCATATTTGGATTTTCTGTCTATACTTTACAAAAGGACTGCTGAGAAATGCAAGGTCTCCAAAAGGCAGTATGTGCAGAGAGCATTCTGTAAAACATCTGTTACAGATGGAATGCAGTAATTGCAAAAGAAGTTGTATCAACAAACACTTAGATTTTTCTTCCTGTTTTATATGGGCAGTAACCCAGTCCTTACACTCTGGAGATCCCCATTTGCCCAGCACTGCAAATACTGAATGCAGACTGGCAAACAAGCCCTGCACAACAGCCTGGGCTTCTGCAACTCCTCGTGCTTCCTGCCCAGCTGACACCTTCCAGACAGCTCCGTTCTGAGCTCAGCCTCACCAGCACTGGTTACCTGAGGTAGGTAGGAGGTTCTGTGCTGATAGACACTGCCTTGTACTTCTCATCATTTCCATCCAAGATCTCTTCCACTTCAGAGGCCTTCAGCAGCGTCACACTGGTGGCTAACGTTGTGTAGCCATGATCTATCACCAGGAAAGATGGCAATAATTAACAGGGAAAAAGGCTACATAGCACTGTAGCTTTAACAGGCTACATAGTGACAAACTCTCTGTCACTGCAGGAGGGAGTAGCACAGAGATACAAGTGTCCTTTGGGCTTCACCTTGTAGATATTTACACGGCCCAGAAAACAATCAGTGCTCAGTGGACTTAAAGGTCAGAAATAGCAACGCAAGGATTGATAGAAAAGCTGTCAAAGATCTGGGAAAGGGGGAGAGAGCTCAGGACAGCTCTTGCTGAATGACAGAGACCATCTGCACTGGAGGGTCCTGCTGAGGTTCTGAGAAAGGAGAGTTAGGCATGGGATCAGACAGAGATCAGAGGAAGAGGATTAGACATTAATATTATTGCAATAGCACCAAAGGTCACAGAGGACATTCTTCCTCTAGCACGGCTAAGAACAACACACAGATGAGACTTACATCTTCGGGGACTGTGAGACCGCTGATTTTCTGTTGGGAGAAAAAGAAAGCAAGAGGTCAGCAGGATACTTGGAGGAAAGAGACATAAGCCCAGAGTAAACCATTCTTTTTATTATACTTTACAGAACATACAAAAAGTCATATCGCTAAGAAATTTAACTGCTTGCTATTAGTCCCTCAACAAAACCAATACCAATATTCTCCCTGTAGCAGTAGCAACACACCACAAATTCTGGCAGGCACAAACATCCAGTCCCTGCAAGAAGCAAAGTTCAGCAAAGATGCACAATGGGGCATCCTTACAACACTCCTGCCTATTTGAGAGAGGAAAAGACGCCCCTCTTAGTCTACAGAAAATCTCTTCTGAAATATTGTATTGATTTGGAGATGTGGCTTTTGCTTTGTGATCAATGTAGCCATGATGGATGTTTCCATTTCAGAACACTTTTGATCAGGTGCTATTTGTTGCCAGGCTGAGCCAGTGCCACACGGCTGCAGGGTGCTCCATCACTGGGGCAATCTCAAGTGATTCACACAGCCCTCAAGGTGCACAAGCTTCTGAATTGCCAGGAACAGTTTTTCAAGGCAAAAATTTTCGATAATCATTACTGGGAATGTTTACTCATCTTCTCACCATGTGAAGAGGCCACAATCTTCTTCCTTTCTTCCACCGTGGCCAGGCGCCTCCAGAGCGAGGGGTACCTCTTGTACAGGGAGCCCCGAAACATGCGCAAGTAGTTCCCCACCTGCAAGAAGAGAAGTGGACATGTGGCCTGGTATTCCACTTAGGAGAGTTTTAGCAGAAGCTGGAAGGAATTCAGCTCTTTTTAATGATAAGAAGGACCTCTCAATTGGGTGTTTTTGTTGGGTTTTTGTGCTGTGTTTGGCATCAAATAGTATTGCGATTTTTCTGGCAACACAGAAAACAAAATTTTTATAGCACTTATTTCACTGGTGCTATCTTACTTCACTAGATCCAAGAAAACTCCCCTCCACTGATAAAAGGAAATTTAATAGGAAAACACTCCATTCATTTGCATGTGTTTTTGAACAACCTACCCCTTCTTTACTTCAGTTTCCACATCAGTGTGCAAGGCTCAGTTGGAATTAAACTAAACCAGATACACAGCTCTCTGCCACATTATTTTTACTTTGAACCTCCCCGTCATCTAGACATTATTTGACTATAGCAAATGCCCAGAGACTTGTATTTTGTTTAAAACCCTTTGAACATCAAAAGTGTGATTGCTGCCAATAGTCTTCTTTCAGATTTACTTACCATCTGTAGAGCAGTTCTGTTCTTCCTGGCGTAAGATCCTCACCTGTGCTGAAAGCTACAGCAGGCCTTGCTGAACAACACAACTATTTCTAGACTCTGAAATCAAATTTTTAGACTGCCAGGACACTAGTAGGCTGCCACACAACAAGGTTTTTATTCCTTGTTTGCGAAGACTCTTTTTTGATCTTAGTTTTTACCTATATCTTTCACTCTACAGTGCTCATCAACAGACAGAAATTAATGGTAGATGAAAAAGACAACCCTTCTCCTTCTCCATATACCAGGTATGGCAGTCCCTTTCCTGCATCAAGTTGGGGGCTATAACATTTTTTCCTGTTCTCAGCTGTCTCCCTGGTGCTACAGGGCCAGTGTTTCTTGCTTGAATAAGGCTCTTTGTCAGGGAGGCTCAACGCCCTCAGCACGGGACAACACAGTGCCAGCACAGACACTGGGGTGCTGAAACTGCCCGCCGGTGTTTGCTGAGCAGAGTGTGCACAAGGAGCTGCACTGCCTGATTTTGGTGCTGCTCCTGAGCCCAAAAGCCCACGTGTGCGATTCGTTGCCCCGCAGCATTTGAAATAACCCGAACCTCTCCACAACTGTGTGCAGAAATTCTTCTCGGCGATCGGGAGCGGGGCCTCAGGCTGCGATCGGGGAGGATCCGCTCCGCACGTACCCGTGCGAGTCCCAGGGGCCGCACCGCTCCCTCCCGTCCCCCCAGCACGGCTGAGGCCCTCGGGCAGCGCCCACCGGGGCAGAGGGGACCCGCGGGGCCGGAAGGCCGCTCCCCCCACGCCATGGCTCTCCTGCGCCCCTTGCCCGCCCCGAGCGGAGCGTCCCGCATCCCCCGGCCCGGCCCGGCCCCTAGTGCGGGCCCGCTGCGCGCATGCGGCGGGCGGGGCGAAGGAGGCACGGGCGGCACGGCGGGATGTAGAAAAGAGGCGGATTTTATTGTGGCGGGGCGGAACATAAATACACACGGAGCGGGCTGCGCTGGGCCCGCGGCTCCCGGCACATCCCCAGCGCCGCGCCGCGCACCCGGGCTCGGCTGGGACGGGGAGGGGGCTGTTCGCAGCCCGGGGTGTTCGGTGTAAGGCCGGGCAGGCACGGCGGGGCTGCGGTGCCAGCCCGGGCCCGGAACGGCGGTACGAGCAATCAGTGCATCTGAGCATCCCGGGATGGGAACCGCGGCGGGATGAGCGCGGGGCAGTGTCCAGCACTGGCACCCAGCACCGGGGAGGGAGCGAGGGAGGGAGGGAGGCGGCCCCTTGTCACTATACAGATCGGTACGAAATCCTAACGCATGCTAGGGATACAAGGTCAAGCCGGCTAGGGCTGCGGCAGGGCCCTGGCAGTCAGCACGGCTGCCCCGGCGGAGTGGGTCTGGCAGCAGTGCTCCTCCCCTGCAGGTAGGGCCGCTGTCCTTCAAAGCCCCGGGCTCGGGGGTCATTCCTCCTCGGCCAGCGTCTGCAGCAGCGAAGGGCTGCCGCAGTGAGTTGTGTAAACACAGGAAATGCCGTGGATCAGTTCTACAGGATGGGTTCAGATTAATTATGAAAGCGTGATCCCATTCCAGGCTGGCCTGATGGCTTTTGGGATGCTATTGCTAGAAGAGAGTGGCCTCCCTTGCCTGTAAAGAACATGGCAGCTGCTTTTACATTGATAGCAGCTGAAGCAGGGGCTGCTGGAACTGGAGAGGAGCAAACTTTGTCACTTGTGACAGACACCTGTTGTGTCAGATGCTGAGCCTGGAAGGAAGCCAGGAATGGCAGAGGGAACCCTCTGTGTGGCTGCTGGAGGTAAAGGGAGATGACAGGGGAGTGTGGAGGACACAGGCATGCCCCTCATCTGAAGGAGTTGGAGGAGGGTGTGCAGCTGAAGAAGTCCTGGCTGATCTGGCGTGGGTAGCCCTCCAGCACTTTCACCTGGACTGGGTCAAACTTCCAATAGTCTCGGCCCCTCAGGAAATAGGCAAAACCTGTGGGTGAGAGAGGAAGGTTTAGGAGAGGCAGCATTCATGTGGCTCAGAGCTCTTTGCTGGCATTTTGTTCAGCTGACACTCTGCAACACATGCGGTACTGAAAGAGAGCTGCAAGTGGCAGGAGATTTTACTTGGACCCAGGCTTGCGGCATTCACTTTTCTTTCACACTGTTTTAGTTTAGATAAAAAGTCTAGTTTTACTTTTTGGACAGTACACAGGATGGATTTTATTTTATTTTCCTGGTGGGTTTAAATACGCTTGTAGTGACCCAGCCCTGTGAGTGTAGGGGATTTTTAGGACAGGGACAGGCAACTTGTGAAGACCTGCTCAGAGCATCTGTTCTGTGGGCAAGCTGCCCTGGAATTTCGGCTCTGGAAGCAGTGGGGAGTTGTTTCACTTCTTCCTTAGAGAGGAAAGAGGCACTCACCACACCTGTCATCCCAAGCACCCTGGCTGTCCCCAGTGTTTCTGTGGCACTGCCCTACTGTTTTCAGCATGGGGCACACAGGGGAGGACTGGTCAATACCAAAAGCAGCCTGTTCTTTGTTCAGCTCCCCGGGTAGAAGTGTGGGCAGTGTTTCTGTTGTCTTCTCATCACTTCCTTTGGCAGCAGCAGTGAGAGGTGGGCAGCACTCTGTGACCATTCCTTGGTCAGTTATCTGCCTTCTCTCTATCATACACTTACATACCAGTTGCTGCAATTAATGGGAATGAAACTTCTCAATTCTCTCCCCACTGGAGGCAACTGCCCCTCTACACTGTATGGGACGTGTTGTGGTTGGGCAATGGCCTCTACTGCCCCGTGTGAATCTGCAGTGCTGCCAGGCAGAGCAGGCTGTGCTGCTGCACTGACCCAGCTCATCCTGGAAAGCGGCGTCGATCTCCGGCGGCACGCCGCGCCAGTCGGCCATGGCCCGCGGGTAGATGTTGTCCACCTGGCGCCTCTGGGGGTTGAAGCGCCAGTAGTTGCCGCCACTGAAGATGTAGATCTTGTTCTTCTCAGCCCCCCACACCAGAGCAGCCTGCACTGGGGATGCAGGGAGGCCCAGCTCCACGATTGGGGTGGGGCCAGATACCCGTCTCTCACCATCATAAATCCAGTATTGAGAATCTGTTGAGGAGACAGAAAAGGGAAACAAGGGGTCAAAAACTCTCATCATTTGGCAGTGAACTGTGCAACAGGAGCTGGGGCCTTGGCAGAGCTCCCACGGGAAGCTGTGCCTGAGAGGCAAAACTCCTCCAAGTGTAATGGATGCTGCCACTGTTGTGTGTCCAAAATGCTGTCAATGCATTGGCATCCCATGTCAGTCCAGCCTGGGGGGTGTTGGGGGACAGGAAGATCCATTTCAGCAGCATTTTTCTCTATTTGTGGAAGTTACAAAGGACTTGGCTGGAGGGACCAGCCTCTGCCCTGCAATCTCAGCACCTGGAAATCATGTGGGCATGCACAGGCACAAAGAGGGCATGTGGCTGGAAAGGAGCAAGCTGCAGAATCCAGGAAGAATTTGCCAAGTTGATATAGAGACTGGAAGCAGAGTTCCAGATTAGATTAAAATGGGAATCTCTGTAATTAGCCTACAGCATGTAATACTTTCCCCTTATCTCATTTTAACTCACCGTAGGAGCCTGCCAATTTTAGCACTGTAAGCCCTTGTGTGCAGGTCAGGTGCTCAGAAATGTGTTCGTGCAGGAGCTCTGCCTGCAGAGCCACTGGTGTGATTTTGGTGCTCAGTCTCATGGAGTGCAGACAGGGTGTGCACACCCACAATGAGTTCCCAGGTCATTCTGCATCCCTGCTATTAAACCTCCACTTGGGAGGAGCATTAAAGAAAGCAGTGGAGCTGAAACAGGGTTTGTTGCTGGCCTTGGACCCCAGAGGTGGCCAGGAGGTGGTTTCATTCCTAATCTTTCTGGTTGCTGCAGGTTGCCTGGCTCTGCACCCAGGCTGCCTGTGGGCTCATAAAGCCATGGGGTAGTAGCCAAGTTCCACATGCAGGTCTCTGAGGAGCAGAGAAAATGCTGTCCCCACCCTAAGCAGGACCCTGGGGACACAGGCACAACCAGGCAACTGCTGGGGTCCACTTCTGGCACAGTGCTTCCCATGACAGCCGGAGAGATGGAGCAAATGTTTCCTTCCTTTTCCTCTGCCAGGGCAGAGGCTCATTACAAATGTTTGTGTTCCAGGGAAGGAGAGTGGGATATTGTGGCTGTGTTTAAAACAAAAGCGAACCCTTGTTCTCTGTCCTCAATACCTGATAAAAAGTATAAATAGATAAGGAAGGAAATAACAAGGATTAGTGGACTGCTGAGGATTTCCAGATTTATTCTCCCAGGAACCTGCTGGGTCCTGACTACCCCTAAGTAATTGAGATTTCTGAGCCATCTGATCACAGTCCAGCTCTTACCTTGGAAGAACCAGATGTTGCCCAGAGGGTCCTCGAAGGTGGCATCGACAGAGCTGGGGATGCCCTGCCAGTGGCGAGAGGCCAGAGCCGGGTAGCCGTCCTGCAGCTTTCCAGCGCGGAGCCGCCACACGTAGCGGGAGCTGAAGAAGAACAGCTCCCCTCGGATGGTGGCTGCAGCGTCGAAGGCCGTGAGGCAGGCGTCGGGCTGCAGGGCCTGCCGGGGCACGGCGGGTCAGGGCTGCCACCCTGAGCCCAGGGGAAGGCCCCGTGTCCAGGCAGCTGCCCCGTTTGGGTTGGGCACGGGCTGCCCAGAGATCCCCTCCCTGCACGTCCCAGTGCCAGCCGTGGGTCTGGGATGTGCAGGATGGTGGAAGAGGCAGACACCAACTCGGGCTGCTGCCGGGGCAGCCCCAGCCAGGGTGTCGGGGAAGGGCACAGAGCAGCCCTGCACTCACCTCCACGTTGGTGATCTCGTTTGTTTCGAGGTCTGGCTGGGGCAGCTCTGCTGGCTGGGTTGGGGTTGGGTCAGGATGCAGTGAGGGTTTCCCATACAGGTACTGGATACCTTGCTTGTCGTCCTCGCTCAGGCTCAGGGGGTAGCGGAAGATGTAGAAAGGGGACATCAGGGACTTGGAGACAGCCGTGTGCTGCAGGCCCAGCACGTGGCCAAACTCGTGGGCAGCCACTTGCAGGAGGTCAGTGCCTACCAAGGGAAAAGATGGAAGATACTTTTGTCTACTCACATGCTTTGGCCTCCTGGGCTTGTTCCTACCAGTTACCAGACACTGACATGTGTTGTAGGAGTCCAAAAAGAGGGAAGAGAAATCTACCTCCAACTGTGTTGTTCCCGGATATCTCCTGTGTAGATCAAAAATATGTTTGTGGTTTTTTGGGGTTTTTTTGGGTTTTTTTTAAGGGCATAATAAAGGAGTTCACTGGTTCAGAAGCGCCATGAGTCAATTCATACACGTGGGTATTAACCTGGACATGTTGGTAGTCTGCAGTTCTGTTGTCAGAGGCTCTTGCCACCTCCTCAGCTACCAGGAAGAAAAGGATTTTCCGTGCACTTTTGGAAAGGAGAAATTTGCACAGAGAAGGAAGTCTAGACCAGAGGTGTAGGAGGTGGTGTGGTCAGGTTGGTGTTTGTCCACCCAGCTTGAAGCAGATGTTGGCTAGAGCTGAAGGTTTAGCAAGTCCCAGTTAGATCACAGCCACTGTGGAAGATGCTGGTGTTGGTGAGAGAGCTCTGGGATTAACACTTGCCAAAGGGGTTGTTACAGACAGCAGAGGGAGCTCATTTATTGCTTGTCTGGGGACTGTGTCAAGAAGGTGTCATTTAGAAATAAATCCATAAAAGATTATCTAATGTCAAGGTCTGAGACTTCTTCACCAGACTTAAACAGATTTATGGGAGACCATGTTTTAGGAATACATGACCTTGGAGCATCTACGAAAGGAGAGGGGGAAACGCGGATTTCAGTACACAAACTTGTCTTGTTTGGCAGGTTTTGTTTAGCTTCCAAAGGGTCTTTTCTAAAGCTGGTAAATTTCACTATGTCCCAGCATATTCAGTCAGAAATCCTCTGAGCTGCAGCCCGAGGGATGAGAGCAGCAGGGATGTGGGTCAGGCAGCCTTGGTGCTCCAAGCAGGATTTCCCTGCTGGCTCCAGGGGAGCAGGTCACTTGTCAGCACCAGGAGCAGGGAGAATACAGTGGGGAGGAACCCCTGGGAAGGGTGGAGGGGAAGGTGAGCCCTGCCTTCCTCCACTGGCCAGTTTTACCTGGAAGCCATGAATCTGCACAGCACTGACCTGATTAAATCAACACATCTAGGTCAGCTGAGAGAGTGGGATTTCCATGCCAGTGATTTATTACAAACTTTCAGACACTTCTGTTTAGCTTGGCAGGCTCCTCACTTGCTGCTTTCCAGTGTTGGCAGATGAGCTGTGCTGTCAGATTCTGCAGGGGAGGTGCACAACAGCACAGCTGGAGGAGCTGTTCTGGACAGCATCCCTGTGTCCCTCATGGATGGTCCTCCACCTGGGACCTGCTTCCTGCACGGCCCTGGAGTGACCCCAGGACACACTCATGCTCTCCCATCAGTAAATGAGGCCAAGGATTTCCCTGTCTCACTGAGAGCTGAGTCAAGGATTTATCCATGTTTATATCGTAAAGCTCTTTTCAGCATATTAAATGGCAATTAGCTCCAAAGAGCTTTTACAACAGTTATTTATGGATGATATGGGAGGGGGGCAGAAGCGGGGAATGCCATGGAATGCCATGGATTCTGATGGGAACTGGGTCCACTTTTGCTTCTCTGGTTTGCCCCCAATGCTGTTTTATGGGAGAATGCAGGAAATTCTTCAACAACAGAGGGTGAAAACCAACAGAGCCCACCCCTGCCCCAGGAGCAGAAACCCCTCTGCAAAGAGGTCCTGTGCTTGTGATTCTTGTTTTGGGTCAGCACAAGTGGGGCTGGAGACACAGCAGTGCTGTGCCCCACGCAGCCAAAGTGGCCTACAGCTGGCACTGACATGGCAGTGGCACCCCACGGGCTTTGGGGTGCCCACTGACATGGCCAACATTTTTGGGAATCCCCAGAGAGGCCTGGGGTTAACTTGGGTTTTGTGATTATTTCTTTGTCCATGTAGATAAACTGGGAAGGAGAAGGAGGAGCTGACCCGGGTTAATTTTGGTGAGTCTTCCAGAAACTGATGCTCTGGGCACTGCTCCAGATGGTCCCAGGCAGTATCTCATGAGAGTGCAGTATCTCATGAGACACTGTGACACCAGACCCTGAGTGCCCAAGCAAAGAGCTACCAGCTTGGATCTATTATTAGCAAAAATTTTAAAAAGAGTCTTGACTGGATGTGGTGTTGTTTATGGTCAGAGCATTCCCAGGCCATGGGACAGAGCTGGAGCCTGGCTGGTTTCCCTTTAAGGACTTGTTTGAGGGCAGAGGGTGAACAATGCCTGCAGGGCCTGGCACCGAGGCTGTTCTTTGGAAGACAACGGTGCCACACAGAGCTCCAGCCTCAGTTTTCCTTCATCCTTTCCTTGTTTCATTTCCAATGACTCCGGCCAATGCTGGGTGCAATTCCCCAGTGGCAGGGCACGTGGCTGGGCAGAAGAGCCATCTCTTGCTGCCCCACACAGGAGGAATCCGTGGGGAAGCCGGGGTCCTGGACCTGAATGCTAACAGCTGGCTTCTAACCAGTGGGAGATGACAATGCTCACCACAAAAATAGCTGTTCCCTCTCAGTTTTACAGGGCCCCTGTTCACAGCACAGGGAATCATTTCCAAGTTCACTGACAAGCATCCTGGAGCACCCACAGCTCCCCTTGAAACAGTGCCTACCCAGGTTGTTCCCAATCGTCCAGGTCTCGTCATAGTCAAAGTGCACGTCTCCTTCCCGGTGTGTTTTGGGGAAGAACGCGTGTGCCAGGATCCCTCCAGGCCCATCAAAAGGCAAGTTGTCTCCGTGCCAGTACCTGGAGGGAAGACACATTGCACCTCAGACAAAGGGCCGTGGAGCTCCAGCATCGCATAGCCAAAGGTGGGAGGCACTGAGAGGGGACAGAAGCTCTCATTCTCACCCTGAGCTCATCCCGCTGGTCTAGATCAACTGCTCAGAGCAATTCCAATTGCCACAAGCCAAATTCTGCTCCAGAGCCCAAGGAAGCAGCTAGATCACACCAAGCACTAAGGAAGCAGATCTCAGTCACACCAAGCTCTGGGGAGTTTGTATGTTTTCTCAGGGATATTTCTCCCCCTCCCCTCTCCAGCTTCCAGCCCAGAGCTGACTGTGGAGCCTAAAGAACTAAGGAGGTGACTGCCTAAGCCAAGATTGAGCTGATATTTCTGGGTGGTAGGGGGCTGTGGAGGGGCAGCTGGCAGCAAACCCAGCCAAACTCTCAGGTCCTCACTCAAGCCAAGCCACTGATGAGTAATGAAGGAAACCCATGAGAGATGTGGCCACTTGAGAGAGCTGAGGGAGACAAATACACAGCATGGAAATCACATCACTGCTTGGACAGTCTCCACTGCCCTCATTAGCTCTGTGCAAACATGCAGCTCAGGGAAGCCTTTGCCCCAGTGAGTATTTTGCCAAAAGGGAATTTCAGGCCAGGAGCCAAGATTCCCTTAACCAAGAAACTATATTTGTCTTTGGGCAGACAGTTACATCCTTCAGTCAAGGGACAGGATGGAGGACCTGAAGATGGAAAGTCAAAACAAACGCTTAAGAAAACAGCCTGTGGGCAGAGAAACGTAAATGTACCAGGAAAATTAATGAATGGTCAGTAATGGTGCTGAGTGGAACAGCTGCACTCACACCGAGCAGCCCACGACTGACAAAACTAAAACGAGCCCAGTGTCTGACAGCAGAAATGAGCCCCCATGTAAGTGCCTGAGTTGTGTGCTGGCAGCCTCTGCTCTGGTTGCAGCCCTGCTCCTCTGGCAGGGGGAGGCTGTGCTCCCGCCGTGCCCACCTGGTGAAGTCGATGACGATGTCAGCCCGTCCCTCCTGCACCTCGGTGAAGGTCAGCGGGGTCACATCACTCCAGACTTTCAAAGCTTCCTCTATGGTCCTTCTCACCTTAGCTTTTACAAGTTGCCATGGGAACCTGATGATTCTGGAAGGCAACAGACACTGGATGAGGAGAGCATCCCACGGGTGGGCTGTCATGAAGGCGCCAGCTCTACAATCAGCATCACCAGGACCACCATTCCCAGCACCAGAACATCTCCAATCCACACATGCACTGCTCCAGCACCCTCTACCAAGCAACATGTGCAGCAGATCAATCCCATCAGTGTTGAAACCCTCGGCCTGATGTGCCAGAGGTGAGTTCCCTGGAGAGTTTTGCAGATTCTATGTTGTTCTGAGGTGCCACAGCACTTCTCAGGTCTATCCCCTGTAAGGCCACCACCACAAAGATTCCTGAGAGTGGTGTGATGTGATGTCTTCTCCTTAACCACTACATTTTTTGCCCCTGGAAACTTGGGTTCACTGAGTTGCTCCCACTTCCTCCAATAACAAGAGCAGACTGAAATGTCTTCCACAGAGGGAAGTTTCTTTCCCTTCCATTAACAGTAATGTTAACAGCTTAGTGTAAATCTCTTCTGTAATTCTTTCTTTAACACTACTGACCAAAAAGAAAAAAAAGGAATAAGCCTTTGTTATCTGCAGCTTCCTGATGGTGTGAGGAACTGTCTCCTGTATTGGATTAAGCACAAGATGATTTACATACTGTCAAGGTCCATATGACTGTGCTCACTTCTCCACTCATACCCCTGAGGGCAGCTGCAGAGGCAGCACAACCCTCCCGCCAGTGTTTTGGGCAGATTCACAACTGAGAATGTGTGGAGTGATTTGGGCAAAACTTTATACTGAAGTGGTGTTTATGAGACCATCAAAAACAGCTGAATAAAAAAATCTTAAAATAAACTGTGAGGTGAGCCCCCTGCGGGGTGGCTGTGGGGGCAGAGACACAGCAGGAGAGCGCTGGTGGTGGGGGCTCAGCTCAGCATGTGTGAGGGCAGTGACAGAGTAGGGCAGTGACAGAGTGGGGCAGTGACAGGGTGAGGGCAGTGACAGAGTGAGGGCAGTGACAGAGTGAGGGCAGTGACAGAGTAGGGCAGTGATAGGGTAGGGCAGTGACAGGGTAGGGCAGTGACCCTGTGTGCCCAGGGGTGCTGGTGTGGCACTGCCCGGGGCTGAGGCAATGGCTGTGCACAACGGGAGGGCAGCTGTGTTTGGGAGTGTGCTCAGGAGGTGCTGGGGACAAGCCTGCCGTGGTTTGGCATCTGGCTCCCCTGGCCCCTGTGCCTCTCACAGTCACATCCCAGCTCCAGAGATACCAGACCGAGCATTTGGGCAGGGAGAAGTGAACCAGCCTGACTGCCACACCAGCCTGATTGTCACACCAGCCTGGCTGTCACACCCCCCTGGCTGCCACACCAACCTGATTGTCACACCAGCCTGATTGTCACACCAGCCGGGCTGTCACACGAGCCTGGGTGTCACACCACCCTGGCTGTCACACCCCCCTGGGTGCCACACCCCCCTGGGTGCCACACCAGCCTGGCTGCCATGGCAGGCCTCCCTTACCTGTAGGTGAGGTTGCTCTTGTCCCAGCGGCCCCCGGAGAGCACGAAGCGCTTCTGGCGGTTGCGGCCGCCGGGGCCGTCGGGCAGCGCCGGCAGGTCGGGCACGCCGCAGCGGCGCGGGTTCCAGCCGGCCCGGGGCCCGGCGGCGGCCGCGGGGAAGCCCTTGGCAGGCACAGCCGTGCCCACGGCGTTCACCAGGGCAGCCAGCCAAGGAGCCTGCTCCTTCCAGGTGTGGTGCTTTCGAGAGATGTCCTGAAAGGCAAAAGCAGAAGCGCGACTTGAGTGTCCGTGAAGATGCAGAGGAGTGGGCAGCCCGCAGCAGCCCTGCGGCACAGTTCACTTCTGCCAGGGCTGTTTCCCCACTGGCAGGGCACAGCCTGCTCCCCACAAACACGCCATGCTCCCTGCTCTGAGGCTGGCTCACACCTGGGGGGCACTGTGTCGTGCCATGGCACCCACTGAGCACTCAGCTATTTTTGGTCCACATTTCCTTGGCAGCCGGCCGGCAGGAAATACTTTTGCAGGCTGTGGATGAGAACCAGACCCTTCAAGTATAAAACAAATCACTAGGGAATAAATTCTCCCCCTTTGCCCTACATCCTTTATTCCCTGCTGGCCTCGGGGAGAGGTGACATTAATGGGAGGAAATCTCTTGTCCCCAGTACGCAGTTGTGCTCCTTGTTGTCCCTTCCGTGGTGTCCTCTTGCTGCCCTGGCACCCTCAGCAGGGCCAGTGGACACGGCAGAGCCGGACACAGGGATGTGGGTGACAGCCCAGCCCACGGCAGGGAGCAGCAGAGACTGTCCCTGCAGCCCCCACCACTGCCTGAGGGAAGGACTGCGCCGTGTCCCCTCACCTCCTGCGCCTGTGATTCTGCTCGGGATAACATCTCCTGGGCTCTCCCACACTTGGTTGGAAAAACAAGGTTTCTCTTGACAACATTAATTAATGCTAATTAGCTGACTTCCACTGGTTTCCTTCCCATGTTGCCACCATGAAACACGACCCAGGTGTCACCTCCAAGCTGCTGTGAGGCATGTGGGGTGAGAGGTGCTTGATCCACATCGCTGTGCTGCAGAGGGCCAAACACAGATTTTTTTTTTGCTGATTTTATGCAGCAAATTAAAGGTGTTTGAGCAGGGAGGAGCTGAGATGCTGCAGTGGGGCATCTCTAGCTGGACAGGCAGGCTCCAGAGGGAGGACCTGGCCTTTAGGCAGGCTCTCTTCCTCTGCAAAGAGCTGCCTTCTTCCTGGCTGCCCTGCCAGCGACACGGGGGTCAGGCTGGCATGGTGCCAGAGCTGCCATGATGCTGTAATCCACATGCTGCCACCCTCTGTTCCACAATGAGCCCATTCACGTGGGCTGGAATGAAGTGTGAAGGCCTTGGCATCAATTCCACCACTGAGCTCCCGGCCCGTGCCCCTGAGCCAGGCACGGATGGACAGGGGAGCCAGGCAGGGCACACAGGCTGCACTCTGGGTGTCTGCACATCACTTTGGGCTTTTGGTGTGCCTGTCACCCCTCCTGCCTGCTGGCTGGTCCTCCACAGACAGACAGACAGACAGACACCCTTGGTGGCTGGGCACCTGCCAGCCTGTGCCTCAGAGCCATTGGTACAATCCTGGGGTCCCAGTGCACTCTCACACCCCACAGGAACTGCACCAGCAGAGAGAGAAGCCCTTTTCACATCCTGAGCAGCAAAAGCTGCCCAAGGCACCAGCCACGCACTGAGCATCCATGCAGGGCTTAGGGGGAGGAGGAGCACGGGCTGGGCTCCGAGGAGCCTGCACCGGGCTGCTCCTGCTGAGGCTGGCACCCTGCCAGGCTGAGGTACCTGTCCTCTGAGAGGAGCTCTCTGAGAGCCACCTGGCACCCTGCCTGGGCTGGCAGCTACTGCTGCAAAGGACAGCTGGCAGGAGAAGCTGACAAGGTTCATGCTCTGGCCAGCAGCTTGCTGTCAGCGCCGATGACACCGAAGCACACAATGGCAGCTGTGTCACCAGAGACAGCCTGCAGGGCTGCTCAGCCCCTTGCTCCTGGGTGCCCCCACTGCCAGATCCTGGCACCTGAGGCCTTGGGGTGAGGAATGCATCTGGTTTTCCAAGGCCAGGAAGTGCAGGGCCTAGGAGCACAGGGAAACCCTGAAGAAGTGCTCAGGTGGCTGGGTGGGCTGGGGTGACCCAGATGCCTTACCCCTGGTTTTTGCCTTGATGATGCTCTGCACTTTCCCCTCCTGGGAAGGCCAGTTTCCTTACAGGCTGGGGTCACTGCCATGAACTGGGGGTTATCACTCTCCTCTGACCAGGAGCAGAGGAGAAGCTGCCTGTTTCCTTCTTGCCCTGAGGAATCCCTTGCTCAGAGGCAGAGCAGAGGCAGCTTTGCTCTCCCCCTTTGGTCAGCTCAAGGCACTGCTATGAATCCCAGCTTTCCAAACCCCACTTTGCAATACCAGGACCCTCCCTGCTCCTCCTGCCCTGTGCAGACCCAGTCCTGGATGGGGTGGGTGCTTCTGTGGGTGGCTCTGGGTGGAGCAGGAGGTGGGACCTGCCCTGTGTGTGCCCCTGGACAAACAGTGCCTCTCTCCCTGTCGTCACCACACCGACATTAGCACCATGGCAGGAAAGGGCTGGAAAATGCCACTGCAGGCAAGGGGAAATGTGACAGGCACAAACCACTTGCCAAACAATGCTCAGGGGACACCCAGGCTGCAGATCTTGGCCTCCTTGGCTGGACACACCTTGCTGCAGGCACTTCCCAGGGATTAGATACCGTGTCCGCTTGCTTAAGGTTGCATCCTTCCCAGCCAGTGCCGAGCCCTCCCTCTCGTGGGGAGATCTGCTTTGTTCCCTGAGCTGTGCTACCACACCCCGGCTGCATTGCTCGGGGCTCACTGGGGCCCTGCTGCTGCCCAGGCTGCTGCAGAGCTGCCAGGGGAAGGGGAGGAGGGCACTGCCTGCTGGGCACCCATCAGGGCATCCCCACTGGTGCCATCCCACCAGCAGAGGGGAGGGGATTCCTGAACACAAAAGCAAAGGAAAGTGCCAGGGTTTGTCCCAGCAGAGTGCAAAACAGATCTGAGCCTCTGGCTGAGCGTGTGCAGGCACTTGCAGTGCCCCTCCCTGCATAACCCACAGCTGGGCATGGGAACAGCTGCCTTGTGGTCGAGGAAGAGGCCAGGGCTTTGCAATAGAGGCTCATCAGTAAATGTGAACACAGCACAAGCACAGAGAGGATTCCAGCCTTAAACCAAGGGTTGAGGGCAGTGAGGACAGCAGAGGAGCAAAGCTGTACCAAAGAGGGCTGTGCTGCAGGCTGGTCACAGCTCCTCACAAAGAAAGTGCCTCCTCCTGCAGCCTCGTGACTGAAAGGCTGAGGGGGAGCAGGAGGGAAAGGACAGATCCCACGGGACAGCAGAAACCACAGCGGAGGTACAGGCTGCCCACTCAGTTCCTCACAGCTTTATCAGCCTTCAAGTGCTGTGATACAGCAGCCATCACCTCTGGGTCTGCTGGAGCCAGATGAACACCAGCCAAGCTTCCCAGGAAGTGTTCCAGCCATCCCAAGGAGCCAGGAGCATCTTTAACCTCCTGGTGTTGGGCAGCACTCACCCTGCAGAGCCCCGGGAGCAGCAGCAGCTGCAGTGGAGCAGCAGCAGCACCGTGCCTAAGTGAGCTCAGGGGTGGGGCTGGTGCCTGGCTGACAAACCCAGGGCTCTCCTGTGCCTGGCTCCATCCTCCTCTGCCTGCCTGAACTTAAACTTGTGTCCTCTTTGTGTAATCACCTGGGTTCCTGGCTGCTCCCGTGGCATGGACATGAAAGGAGACCCCTCTCCCTGTCAGACAGGAGTGACTGGACAAGTTACAGCCTGAATCCATCAGCCTTGGGTGCTTCCCCTGTCACTGGGGCTGTTTCCTCTTCATTTGGGGAATGAGCTCATGGACTTTGTCTCCATTTCCCTGTCCCTTCTGCTCCTGCTTTTCCATTGCTTCTGTTTCTGCTTCCTCCTTTTGTTACTCAGAGCATTTCCAAGGCCCTGGTGTTTGCTGCCTCTGGCTGGCAGCATTATCCCACTCCTCCCTATGAGCCTGCACCTCAGAGCACTCCTGCCCTTATTTCTGTGAGGAAAAATAGTAGAGATGCTTTCTCTTGCAGTTCTCTCACCCATTTTTGTCCACTGCGGGGTGGCCATGCCCCCAAGGGCTCTGCACCCCCTGAACAGCAATATTCCTGCCTGAGATCAGCATTGTTCTCCTAATGCAGAGACAGCTTTTTGTGCAGCCTGCCTCTCAGCCCAGCATGGATTTGCAGGGGTTGGATTTGAAAGTGCTGATGGTTAATGGCAAAACTGGAACCAGCTTCATTCAGCATGGATTTGTAGGGGTTGGATTTGAAAGTGCAGCTACAGCTGATGGTTAATGGCAAAACTGGAACCAGCTTCATTCTGGTCAGGTTGTGTTCCAGGAGCAGCCTGGGCTGGGAAGGTGCTGATGCTGCAGGTGGAACTTCATGGCAGAAACATGATCGTGGTCTGGCCTAACCCCGAGCTAAATGTGCTCCTGGTCAAGGCACTGCTGGTGGAAACAATGCCCAGGCAAAGCCACCAGGTTTATTGATCCTTCCTCCCCAGGACAAGGTCTCCCAACCCCTCCATGGATTCTTTGCTCACACAAAATACTTCAGCTCCAGGACTCCTCCATGCTGGCTGCAGCCTGGTCCCACTGCAGGCAGGGAGAGCACAAAGGCTGAGGCCAAACAGGAGCTGCTGCAGTGCCTGGCTGTGCACAACTGTTGGATTTTCCTCTCCCCTCACTTCCCACAGCCCATGGCACCATCCAGCACTACCTCCCGGGCCCTGACAGTTTGTTTCCGGATTACTTGGTGGTAGTTGTTGTTGGCAATGAAAAAAGGAAAATGTTTATTTTTCCTAAGCAACATGGAACATGAAACATTATAGACTGCAAATGTTTATGGCCACAGACAGAATGAGAAGAACCAGGCTTTGGTGTAACAAGAGAAAGCAAATGAATAAACACTACAGGACTATTTTTATTATCAGACATTTTAATTATGTGACAGTTTGTGAGACTATTCCATCAACAGCACCACAACCAAGCTGCTGGTGTCACCCAAGCAACAGTTTGCCAGAAACAGGAGTACTTACAAAGCAAACAAGCCCCAGGATGCTGACATAGCAAAAGGTTTCAAGAGCCCTTAATCTGATGACCTAGAATTCCCCTTGAAATGAAGAAACTGCTCTAGGATGTGGCACACTGCTGGCAGGGGAGCAAGGGGGTTGAGATGTTTTGTTCATTGTGCAGTTACATCCAAGCTAAGGGGAGCCATGAGCTACCAGTGCCTCTCTCCTGCCTAAATCCACCAAGAGGAGGAAGTCTGGTCACCTGTCTGTCCTTGCTGGGACTCCTCTATCTGCACCAGGATCTCAGCGAGCATCTAAAAACCTGTATGTGGCCTCAGTGAACCTCTGAACTGCCCTGCTTTTCATTTTGCTGGGCAGCTATGTGCAGACTCAGCTGTGCTCCCATTTGCTTTTGGCTGAGCCATCCCCAGTACAAGAACACCCACAAACCCTTTATTTACCTGTCCATATATTTGAAAGTAGTAGGAAAGAGCTACTTAGTAGGAAGAAGTAGAATGAGCATCTCTGCAGGACAGCTTTCCACCCAAAATCCTTTTCAAACTCCTACACAGTGCATCCCTTCTTCTGCAGAGCCCCACAAGTTATGGTGCCAGGGCAGGATAAGTGGGGGGAAGCAAGTGTAACATAACCTGGAGAGGGGATCCTCCCCAAACTGCTTCTCTCCTCTCCTTTCCCTCCCGATGTGCTTTGCCAGCTGCACCCCAAGCCCTGCCACACTGCAGGGTGTGTGTGTGCTGCCCGTGGAGCACAAACACAACAAACCCGCTGCAGAATAACTACTCACATGTGTCTTGGGTCTCTCCCAGAGCAGAAGATAAACATGCCTAAAATTACCCCAGCGCTGACTGCAGGATTTAAATAGCCAAACCAAGGAGTGCAAATCAAACCCTTCCTGCGGGAGCTGCCCGAGCCCGGAGCGAGGCAGGCGGGGGCTGTGGGGAAGGCAGTGCCCTGCTTCCAGAGGGAACCTGCTGTGCTCAGGGGGACAGCTGCAGCACCCCTGACGGGTTATGGTGGTAGCTGGGAGGGTGCCCACCACTTCTCCACGGAGAGAGACCTTCCCAACAAATGCAGGGGCTTTGATTTCCCAGGGGAGCCGAAGGCAGGGCAGGAATTCAGTGTCTGCGCGTGCACAGCCCGAGGACTGCTGATCTTTTGTTCTCAAGTTTTACAGTGGACACCAGACCCAGCCTTTATTCTGCTCTCAGTTTTCTCTTTCTTTCCTTAGGCATTAATGTAAAAGTGAAGGAGCTCTAGAGTTTGCCTCAAAGAACACAAGTCCTTCTGCAGCTTGCCCTGTGGCCTGGCTCTAAAGCGAATCTTAGCCCTGGGTTCTCTCCCCTCTCAGCTGCTGCCGTCCCGATTCACGACCGGAGCACAAACAGCCCTGCAGCGCACTGCTGCACCCTCCTTGCCTAGCCCACGTACTGGCACAGCTCCTGTGCTCTGTCTCACAGCAGTGTGAATCTCTTTTCCCGGCTCAGCCCCTTGGCTCCTTTCTCATTCATCACCTGACAGCAAAAGGTGCCCAGACAGGAAATGAGCTGCTGTCAGACATGAGGGAAACATCCCTTTGTGCAGCAGGCTGGGAGCAGTCGGAGAAGGGAGCACGTGATGGCGTGGCACAGCTCCCTGGGAGAGAGGGCACAGTGGCCTCTGTCAGCCCTCAGTGCCACCTCAGCTGTCCTGCACCCGCGTGCTGCCTGGCCGGAGGGCAGCGGGAGCGCGGCTGCCAGCCTCCATCCTGTAAAACTGCCTGCGCCTCGGAGGCAGCAGAATAACCTTCAGAAGACTTGACAGCATATGAGGAACCCGGAGGAGCAGCTGTTTGGGATGACAGAACTGCTGTTTGAAAGGATGGGGGATCACCTGTCCATTTCCAACCCAACCAATGCAGCCACCATCTCTGCAAAGGCTGAGTCAAACACATCAGTCTGAAACCCCGAGCTCCACGTGGCTGGTCCAACTCACGAGCACAAGGCATTCCTGAACAAAACAGACCTGCAGGAGTATCACCTGGAACTGCTCCAGCCAGGAGGGAGGATTAGCACTCACAGAGCAGAGCTCTAGCCTAGGATGGGGAAGAAATCACCTCTCTGTTGGCAGACTGCCACCTGGGGGAACCTTGTGGAGCATGGCAGTGGATTTGATGGACCAGGAGTCTGAGCAGCCCTGACCCCTGCATTGACTCTGTGCCCTCCAGCACTGTGGTGTACTTCCACCTCAAGGGCTACCAGCCAAGTCAGCTGAGCCCCTGCAGCTCTGCAGGCAGTCAGCAGCTGAGGGCACTGGCACAAGGACACGAACGGTGACATGGGCAGCTGGACTGGGCTCGAGCTCAGAGGGTGAAACCCACGCTGGCTCTCCCTTCCCCAGGACCCACACAGGTCCCTGCTGACAGCCAGACCAGGAGCAGGGCTGTGCAGGTTCCTCCAGGAGCAGCAGCTTCCCAGCTTGCACAGGGCAGAGCAGGAGGCACCTGCCATCGCAGCAGTGTCCCACGGGAACCGGCAGTCTGCAGCTCTGTGCGGGCGGAGCTCTGCCCTCCCAGCCCATCCCCTGCTGCCCTCGGACGGGCCTGAAGCCCGCAGAGCGGCGTCACTCCTGGAGCGCAGGGTGCCACCAGCAGCGCTTGGCCTCACCTTCCCCAGAGGCAGAGCGGGGCCAAGCACGGTGACATTTCGTTCGGAGGAATGCGAGCACTTTGGGGGCCAGGGCTGCTCTGTGCCAAGTCCCAGCCCACAGCAGATTTAGCAGCCAAGTTAGAAAGTGCTCAGATGACAGAGCTGATAATAAAACCATCGACAGAACCTGAACTAATCCCCTTGGGCTGCTACTGGGCATTTACTCTGTTATTATTTCATGGCACAGCAGCCAAGCGCATGTCCATAATAACCCGATTACACACGCACACATTCCCAGCACAAGGAGCTCTCTGTCCTCCCCCGTCCCCCAAGCCCCCCGCTCGCCGCTGCTCCTCTCCGGCAGCGCAGTCCCTGCTGCTCGCAGCTCCGTCCCAGGTGCTGGGATCGGGCGGGCATGTGCAGGAAGAAAGAGCCCTGCTGCTCCTCTCCTGCCTGCGCCTTTGATTCATCCCTTCAGTCCCGTCTCCCCGTGACTTCTCGGAGCTGCCAGCACAGCGTGCAGGGGGTGTTGGAGCAGCAGCGAGGGCTCTACTGCCTGTGAAGCACGGGGGATGCCGCGTCCTCTCCTAAGCTCTCCTTGTCCCGGTTCCCGTTTTCCCTCGGGAACACGGCTGTGAAAACTCCCCAACAAGCCAGGAGGAGCCCGCGGAGCGGGAGGCACGGCCGGGGCAGGGGCACCGTCCCGCGGCCGGTGACTGCCGGCAGCGCCGCCCGTGCCGGCATCCCGAGCGCGGCTCGGGGGTGGATGGAGCGGCGGGGGGAAGACGGCTCATCCCGTTCAGCGGAGGATCTGCCGGGGAGATACCGCCCTCGGGACAGCATCGGAGAGCGGCGGGGGACACGGAGGGAGGCACCGGCGGTCCCGACTCACCGGCTTGTGTCGGCGGGCGGGCGCGGCGGGCGCGCAGTGCAGCAGAGCGGCGGCCAGCAAGGCGGCAGCGGCGGGCAGCGGCGGGCGGGCCATGCCGGGCGGCGGAGCGGGCTCGGACATGGGGCAGAGGAGGAGGGGGGGGTCCTCGCTGAGCCTTTTATCCCCCCACCGTGGCCGCCTGCCCTCCTCCTCGCGCCTCCTCCCGCTCCTGCCTTTTGTTCTCCCCGAGCCGCGGCTGCACGGGCCGGGGGGACACGGCCCGGCGGCATCGCGGGAGGGGGGTCCCGCCCGTCCCGGCTGCTCCGCCCCGCCACCCCCCGGGGGCGGAACGGGGCGGGACCCCCCTCCCACGCCTGCCCGGCACCGGCCCCCGGCCTCCGGGTCCTGTCTGCCTTGGGGCGCCTTTAAACGGGCTCCTTTAAAGGTGTCTTTCACCTCTCCTGCCTAAGGGCACCAAGGACTAAACCCCGTCCTCTGAGTGCCCGTCGAGACCGCTCCAGTCCCCGTGGGGAGTAGCTCACAGCCGAGTTTTAATGTGTTTGAACCCATGTTTTGCCGGTGCAGGGCTCTGCTTTGCTCACTTTTTCACTCAAGCCCTTCACTCACCCTTTGCAAGAAGGGTTTCCCGAGCAAGGATGCTGAGGGAGGGGAAGGAAGGGAACAACTCCCCATTTTCATTTTGGAGATGCCAAAGCCTTCTCCATCTGCTCAGCCGCCTGGAGATGGAGGCAGCAATGCACAGCTCTGGTTTCTTGGTTCCTGTTTCTATGGGAGAAGCCCTGCATTGTGTCAGCATCTTCTCAACAGACTGAGTTTAGCTGAAAATTGTTTCAAGAAATGTATTGCAAATAAGAGAACTTTGATCTCCAGCTGCCTGGGCTGGTGTGCAGGGAGTGAGTAAGGCTTCCTGACATCCCAGGCTCTATTACTGCTTTATTTGTCTGTGATCAGTTGTTCATGTTTAGTTTTATGAGAACCATACTGACGATGTAAATACTGGGTACGGTGAGCAGATGTGAGAAAAAAGAGCCTGGTCTTGGCTGGCTTTGGGAGGTGCTGCAGTGTTTCACTCACAGGCTGTTAGCAAGATGTCCCTGCACTGGAGCACCATGCTCAGCATATCCCCGAGGCCTTATTTGTAAGAGGGGACAGGGGAGCAGGGAAAACCACGGTGCACTGTGGAATTTACCCTTCTGCTCTTATTCTGGCTGTGCCCCAGGAATGCAGAGCAGACCCTTGTTTCTTGCCTTTCTCTGAGCCAGACAGCTGGGTCCCAGTGAAAAAAGCTTTCCTGCCTTTGTCTCTCTTTTCTTTAGTGTCTTTTCTTTTAGTGCTGGTGTCTCTGGGAGCTCAGTGCTTTCCAGCCCATGGCAGTGGAGCCCTGGGGAAGCAGGGAGAGGCATGGGAGCAGCCTGTGAGGCAGCAACAGGCAGTTTGGCTCTTCTTAATGAAGGGAGATTTTAAAGGGATGTTCTGGGAAACTTGGTCCCTGCAGTGATGGAACTGTGTGTGAGAACTGCTGGCTCCTGCCAAGGCACTAGCACAAAAGAGAATGCATGTTGTGTTTGGGATCACAGATATTTCCCAGCCAAGCCAGTAGAAGTTTAGCAGCAGGAAAATGGCTGTTGGGTGTTCTAGAGACTCTTGAGCCCTGTGTGCAGCCTGCAGAATTCCTTCTTGTTGTGTTCCTAAGCTGGGAGCTCTCTCGTCCACTGTCTGTCCTGTCCATGCAGCCCATGGATGCACAGAGGCTGCTGCCAGATGAGCACAGGGCTCCCACCCCGGACAGTGACACCTCCCAGTGTGACATCTCCCAGTGTGACATCTCCCAGTGTGACATCTCCCAGTGTGACACCTCCCAGTCTGACATCCCACTGTCTCTTTGCTTTCCTGCAGCTCCTGTCAGGCTGGAGCCAAACTTGGGCTTCTTGGGATGGCTGCAGGAGCTCAGTGGAAATTCTCATGGCTGAGAGGTCCCGATGGTCACTGATGTTGCTGATTTAGCATCCTCACATGGAGCTCTTCTTGCTCAGCACCTGTTTGGGGCCTTCCAGCCCCAGCAAGTGGCAGAGCTGTCAGGAGTTTTCCAAGTCCTTCTGACCATAAACATTAGACCTTCTCCCACTCCCCTACGGCTTCCCAACAAGGAGGGCCTTGTGAACACCTGGGCAGGCAGAGCAGCACCGTAATGTGAGTCTCAGCAGGAACCAGCAGCTGGGGATAACCTCACTCTACTCCCAGCAGGTGTTAGGGGGAAAGGGGCTGTGCCAGAGGAGGAGAACAGCAGGTTTGATTCTTTGTGAGCAGCAAAGAGGTGGAATAACTGCCTCAGCCCATGGGCCACTTGGGTGTGATACTGCTGTAAGGCACTGGGGACTGAGGGGAGGTGGGGGAAGAGCTTCTGATGAGAACCAAGGGGAAAGGGGAGGGAAGTGAGAGAGAAACTGAATTTAAATGGATTAAGCCTGTCTGTCCAAAGTCTTTTGTTTCCTGCCACCTCCCTGGTGTGACTTTCACAGCTGTATTCTCTGCCTGGGGACCTGGCTTGAGGTCCCCTGCAAAGTCAGCATGGAGCTTTATACCCCTGGGCATTTCTCTGAGCAGCTGGAAGAGGCTCCAGGAGGCAAAGCCCCAGGACAGAGAAACCCCTTTGATTTCTCTGATGTCTTTCCTGGTCTCTCTGTAGGAGACAACCTCATGAATTGGTGTCTCCAGCATCACTGCCCAGTGGGTGACAAATGAGGACAAGTCCCCATCAGGCAAGTCTCTGTTCTCACCTCCTGCTTTTGGGATTCCCCTTTTCTCTGGCCCTGGCTCCTTGTTTTTCTCCTGGACAGCCAAAGTGGGCATTTGTACAGGTCGTGGTGGGTGCAAGCAAGGCTGCAGGGAACTGCCCATGTCAACATGATTGATCAGGAGTACTCTTTGAATTCCCTGGTTCTCCTCTGCTGGCAGCCTGAGACATGGGTATGGGGAGTGGGCAACAAGAGGCTGTGGAGTGGGAACTTGGCCTTTGGGCCTGGACTCACAAGTGGAAAGGTAAAGTAATATGTAAAATAAAATGTATGTTGGTCAGCAAAGTGCTTTGCTTCAAATCTATTTTTGGTTTTTAAAAAATCTTTTAAAAGGAAATGCTGGAATTGTGCAGGGGTCCAAACAGTGAACCTTGGGTCCAAACTGTCCTGGGTCCACACAGTGAACCTCAAAAACACCAACGTTTTCCAGACTTCAACTTGACTAGGTCAGTCTCACTATGAATTTCCAGAAAATCTTCCTTGATTCCCTAGTACTTATTTTACATCTATTTACTTTTGCTCTCCCCTTTCTTTGACCTTAGTTCTGGGTTGAACCCAGCAGTGCAGAGTCAGATGCGTTTGGGATCAGCTTGATGCAGTGCCCTTATGAAACCAAGGGCCACAAGTGGGGTTGCCCCTGACCTCGGAACGAGGGACATGGTGGCAGGAGCGTGCTGCTCCTCACCTTGCAGAGCTGCACTGCACTCCTCAGGGATCCAGGCCGGGAAGGGGTCCCTGGGCAGCGCTGAGACAGCCGCAGCCTGTGCCCTGTGCAGCTCCCAGTGCGCTCGCACAGTGCCTGAGCAGCTGCGGGGCCCTCCGGCTCTTCCTCTCCCTTCTGCCGCAGCCCTGGGCTCAGCTCTGGAGCCAGCCCCGGGCCCAGCGCTGGGTTTGGCCCCGAGGAGCGGCTCCGTGCCGGCAGGGCAGGGCAGGGCCGGGCTCGGGGAGCTCACCGACCGCAGTGTTTGTGTCTGATCATCTCCTGCCCGTGCCAGGAGCCGAGCGCACACAAACACAGCCGGGCTCGGCTGAGAAGCGCTGCCTGCGAGATAAGCCGGGCGAGGAAAACACATCCATCTTCGTGTCTCTTGGCCTGAGATGCAGTTTCATCTGCTGGCATTTTCCTGGCGTAGGCTCAGGGCGCACCGCAATTCACCTGGGGAGCCAGACGCCGGGGAGCCAGCTCCCATTCCTGGCGAGAGGAATGGCTGCTCCGGGCTGCTGCAGGGGGCCGTGGTGGCGAGGAGCGGCCGCTGCGGCCCCGGCGGGGCTGGGGACAAGCGCGGGCCCGGGCAGAGCCCTCGTGGCTGCGGGTCACCAACAGCGCGCTCAGCTGAGCCACGGGCCACACGGCCTGCCCAGAGCCCCGTGCCCGGCCGGGAGCCAGCGCCCGGCACAGCCCGGCCAGGAGCCAGGGGCCTGGGCAAAGCACGAGGGGCTGGGACACAGGGCACAGGCTGGGACACCGGGCACAGGATGGGACACAGGGCGCAGGATGGGACACCGGGCACAGGATGGGACACCAGGCACAGGATGGGACACCGGGCACAGGATGGGACACCGGGCACAGGATGGGACACAGGGCACAGGCTGGGACACAAAACACAGAATGGGACACCAGGTACAGGATGGGACACAAAACACAGGATGGGACACCGGGCACAGGATGGGACACAGGGCACAGGCTGGGACACAGGGCACAGGCTGAGACACAGGGCACAGGCTGGGACACAAAACACAGAATGGGACACCAGGTACAGGATGGGACACAAAACACAGGATGGGACACCGGGCACAGGATGGGACACAGGGCACAGGATGGGACACAAAACACAGGATGGGACACAGGGCACAGGCTGGGATACAAAACACAGGATGGGACACAGGACACAGGCTGGGACACAGGACACAGGATGGGACACAGCAGCCCGGCCAAAGCACGAGGGGCTGGGGCACAGAGCAGCGGGCAGGCTCGGCTGCAGCCCGCGGCTGCTCGGGCTCTGATGAGGACGCTGCTAGTGCCGTCTTGCAGCGCTCCCGACCTGCCAGCTCCCCGCGAATGGAACGTCCCGGTGAAACGCCCCCCACCCTTGGCTCTCTGATCCCCTCCGAAGCTGAGCTGAGACTGGAATGTCTCCTGGGACGTGATTCCCTCTAGCCTGGGGGGAACTGCGTTAATAAACCCATCGTGAGCTGTGGAGGCGATGGGGGAGGAGGCAGGCAGGGCTGCGGAGATGAGGCTTTTATGAACAAGTCGCAGGGCTGCTGGAATTGTCCCGTCCTGTCCTCTCTCCCTCTCCCTGTCCCTGGAGTCGAGCTGTGGAATTCAGGGTGTGGGTCGGGGCTTTTCTTCGCGCACGTTTCTGCTCAGAGCAGCCAAGCCCCTCAGCTCCCTCTCCCCCCTCCTCAGCTGCTGAACTCCCTTCCCTGGAGCAGGTCCCGCTCCCCCAGCTCCTCTCGGCACAGCGTTGGGACCCTCCTGCCCCTCCACTTTGCTCTGGCACC